TCAGATAAAGCTCGTTCTGTCGTACGTGACTTGAATCCAACAAATGATTTAACTTTCTTGCGCATACGTAGCAAAAAACATAAAATTATGATGTCACCAGATAAAGAATTCATATTAATAGTAGTACAAAATCCAATTGATTGATATTTAAAAGAAACAAAAATATATTTCAAAGTTAAGATTTATTTTGTTGGTTGTTAATTTAATCTGTATGCTACATTGGATGTTAATATCTATTCAATTAAATAAAGAAAAATAAAAGAATAAAGCTTAAAAATTATACAAAATGCAGTATTTAATTACTAATTTAACAAATTATGAACTTTTAGAGTTTTTAAATAGTGCTTTCTTCTTTGGTAACAATATTATATTTTTAAGTTTGATAATTATGAAAATATGTATATATAGTAATTCATGGCATGTTTATTTTTGTATTTAATACAATTATAAATGTACATTTCTCATCAATAAAATATCACAGTATCTTTTTTATAATTTAATTTTAATATTGAGATTGTTTTTATTCAGTGGAAAAAAAAATGTGTAGTTGGTCCCTATTAATTATACATACATATAAGAGTGTCGCACAAATAATTCTATGCAGTCTTTTTAAGATAATATAAAAATACTTATAAATATAATCAATTAAAATACATATAATCAAAATTGTATGTATTAAAATTCAATAGCATATAAAAAAGATTTTTTAAATTATATATATATAATAAAAATCCAACATTTTATATATATATATATATATATATATATATATATATATTATTTATTGTATATCATAAATATATATTTATTTATTTATATTTACCTATCTTTTTTTTATATATATGGTGGAAATACAATGTATGAGTTATTTTATTTTGCAAAATTTTTGAAAGTTAAACTATTAATTACAATGAAATTATTTCATATAATACCGAGATTCTTTTCATAATAAAGATTAAGAGAGAGTTAGATTTTATCATAAGATTTATAAAAGTCATAAGATAAGGTTAATTGCATATTGTATAGTTTATCTCTCATTTTTTAAAGTAAATAAATATCAAAGTTACATTGCTTGAACTGGTGCGTTTGAAGTATGTTGTCTTTTTGAGGGATGCAAGACAATATAGTACAAAAGCATTGCTGTAATTCCCAAGAAAAAGGAAATGATACAAATAATAAAGATTATATTAAAGTACTAAGCCTCTTTAACTGCAGGAGGACAAGCATATTGCCATAATAAATTTGCTGCAATATTTTCAAAAAAGCAGATAACATAGAAAGATAGATGTTTTCAAAATGTTTTGCTATCTACAGCATTGAGATATATAAAAATGTGCACTATGCCAATAACGGAAGCAAATAATATGGAATAAATGCGTTCTTTAATTGTAGGCTGCATATGTGGTGGATGACTGCAAGTCCGACAAAATTCCAATATTCCATGGGAATCTATCAAAATCCATATTGTCATACTTAGCCAATGTATTACACAATATATTATGGTATATACAGGCCAGATGCTTGCAATGACACTGAGCAATAAAATCCTTGCCACTACAATCACAATGATAAAAATGATTAAATAAATTTAAAATAAATTTTTAAAAATATATTATTTTGATACAAATTGTGTGATGAATAATATTTAATTTTGTATATTAATTATTGGATATATATGTACCTAAAATAAGAAAATGCCAGAAAAATTGAATTTGCTTATTTATTTAAAGATGCTTATCATATACAAAAATGAATGATATAATCTCTAAAAACTCACCTTTAAAAAAAGGTAAAAAAAGGCGACCAGTTAAGGGCACGCCATTAACAAAAATTATCCATTGCAAACCCATGTACAATAGAATTGTATGAAAAATTATCGATTATAAACCCATGTACAATCGTAACAAAAGTAATGAAATAAAAAAAAATTGCGCCAAGTGAAAGTAGAAACTTGTACCAGTGGAAAATTAAAGTTGCAGACATATATAGAGTCGTATAATGAATCAATAAAAATTTAAATTTGCAAATGTAGAATTGTACCATAAAAAAACTTATCTTATAAAAAAAAAGATAAACAAGATGCCAAGTCCATGCGCCATGTGAAAAAGTGTTAAACAAAAAAGTATTTTTAAGTAAAAAAATCTATCAATTGACAAAAATTTATGTTCTAAAATTAATATCTCTACAAAAAGTAATGTCCAATTATTGCGCGAATAAATAAACATTTTTATAAAAAATTAAAATTTAAAAACTTATGCAAATTTAAAATTAATATAAAATAAAAAGAAATAAAAAAATTTTAGTTAAAAAAACTGGGCGCGCTGCAATGAGTTTAAAAGTAACAATTTAATTTTAATATCATTAGAATATTATTTAGCAGCGCGCCCAGTTTTTTTAACTAAAATTTTTTTATTTCTTTTTATTTTATATTAATTTTAAATTTGCATAAGTTTTTAAATTTTAATTTTTTATAAAAATGTTTATTTATTCGCGCAATAATTGGACATTACTTTTTGTAGAGATATTAATTTTAGAACATAAATTTTTGTCAATTGATAGATTTTTTTACTTAAAAATACTTTTTCTCCCGACTGCTGCCAACCGTAGGTTGGCGAAAAGAGAGGAAGTATGCGTTTCATCGAGCCCGGATCGGTCGTGACCTTAATTCTCGATAACTACTGCATAGTTTTATATCAACTTTGAACATAAGTTTCTTATTAATCAAGGAAGGTTTAAAGCGTATTATTATCGTTATTTATTCTATTAATAAAAAGTGAAAAATGAGTATTATTTCGTCAATACGGTCTCTCATTGGCTGCTGTGTGAACCTAAGAGGAAAATGATTCACCAATGAGATTCGTTGTAGTATCCGGATAGGGAATGTTGGTGACATTGGTATATACATCTCGAAGTAATAATGACGGGACTGATAGGATAGGTTAGCTGTCACCTGTTGCGTGTTATTGTCAACAACAATATTAAGTGAAGTGTATTATTATGGATATATCTCAAGAAGATATAAATAAAGGAGTAAGTTTCTTCTTTTATATTTATTGTTTTTTTCTTTATTTAGAATATTGTTATTATTATTTATTTATTGTTTCTTTATTTATATGTAGGAAGAAGATACTCGCTTAAAGATATCTGAAGAAGAAAACATTATTAATAATAGAAAACGAGTAAGTCTTGTTATTAATAATTAATAAAAATATATAATATAATTAATAATATAATTAATCTGTTGTAGTCATAACATGGCTATATGAATTTATATTTGTCTGCGTAGCCACTTATTTGCTATTAAATTTGCTACGTAGCCACATTGCTATAAATATCCACATATATAATTGTATAAATGTATATAGTTATTTTTTCTCTTATTTGTATATTATATAATAATTATATAATTAATTAAAAATATGTATACAAATATATTTATAGTTATACAAAGATATTAGCGCACCAATAATTATGGCAATGCAGACAAATATATTAACTTACATAGCCAATTATCTACTACAAAAGATTATTCACATATGTAATAATAATTAAGGCTATACAAATATATAAACTTACTTGTGATTACATAATGTATAAACTTATATAACCATAAGAAAGTTAATATATTTGTCAAAGCCATAATTATAACTGCGTACAAGTTTATGTATTTGATATAAGATATTGTTGTCATCTGTCTCTCTCTATCTATCAATCTATCTATCTAGCTATTTTTTTTATTTATCTCTCTATTTATATTATATTATATTAATTTAAAAAATTGTAGCAGAAAAATATTTGGAAAGAATATAGAACATTGCAGTCACATGGTGAGTGTATGTGTGTCTTTATTATTATTATTATTATTATATTATATACATTGTAATATATATATTACATAATAAAAACTTTTACATGTGTAGGATGAAGAAGCAGAGAGACAAAAGAATGAAGAAACAGCATAAGAACAGCAATAAATTAGAAAATAAATAAAAAAAAAAATAATAAAAAAATTAGAAAATAAAAAATAAAAAATAAAAAACAAAAAAAAAAAAAAAATAAAAAACAATTAGAAAATAAATAATAAAAATAAATTAGAAAAAAAAAAATTAGAAAATAAAAATAAATTAGAAAATAAAAAATTAGAAAATAATAATAAAATTTTTTACAAAAAAAAACTCCCGACTGCTGCCAACAAAGTTTTAATGTTTAAATTAGAAAATAATGTTTAAATTAGAAAATAAATAAAAAAAAATAATAAAAAATTAGAAAATAAAAAATAAAAATAAAAACAATTAGAAATAAATAAAAAATAAAAACAAAACAAAAATTAAAAATAATAAAAAACAAAAAAATTATAAGTATAAAAATAAGCTTGTAAAAGTTGGAAATAATCACACATAAATAAAGTCTGTTGTTTATTATATAATTTTTCTTATTTAAATTTTTTGTTTAACACTTTTTCACATGGCGCATGGACTTGGCATCTTGTTTATCTCTTTTTTAAAGATAAGTTTTTTATGGTACAATTCTACATTTGCAAATTTAAATTTTTATTGATTCATTATACGACTCTATATATGTCTGCAACTTTAATTTTCCACTGGTACAAGTTTCTACTTTCACTTGGCGCAATTTTTTTTTTATTTCATTACTTTTGTTACGATTGTACATGGGTTTATAATCGATAATTTTTCATACAATTCTATTGTACATGGGTTTGCAATGGATAATTTTTGTTAATGGCGTGCCCTTAACTGGTCGCCTTTTTTTACCTTTTTTAAAGGTGAGTTTTTAGAGTAGTAATCACGCGGAGAAACAAAAAATGGAACATTAAAGTAAAAACAGATCCTGTTAATTTGATCTATGTTAGATTACTGTATTGTGTACTGCATTACATAAAAAATTAATAAAAAACTAACATTAACATTTGTCGGGAGATCCTGATTTTCTAGCAAAAGATTTTCTGCTAAATTATTGTGTTGTGATTTCTCCAAACACAGTTTTTTCCGGGAGTTGTCTCTATCCCTACTATCTGGACATCATACGATGCTCTTAATGAGGATGGTTCTAATGCTGCTGAAAATTGGCTTGAAGTGGAAGGTATAACTATATCGGTATATCTTGTCCTTTAATTACAATTTCTTCTGCTTTAATCGTATTTTCCTTAAAAATAAAAAGATTACAGTTAAACTAATTATGTGTGTGTAAGTAATAAAAGAGAAAAAGATTTGATTATTTTAACTGTTTTATTATTTATTGAATTTTTGTAAAATCGCTTTAATCAATCTCAACAATGGACTTTATTCCTTTTCTGAATTTAGCTGATCGCTCACATTATTGATAATTGATGGTATTGTGTCAGGATAAATAACTTTAAATGTCAATCTATCTGTTTCTCTGTAATTATAGTTAAATTTATATTTGACATTCGCTAGATAAAATTCGTAATACAAATTATTTATATTAACACATATATAGTTTACACTTGACAATTTTAAAGGAAACAATGAAAGGAAAAATCTTTACTTGGTTTTAAGAATTTATCACTCGAATTAAGGTTGCAAGTTGTAGAGCACGATATACACGAGAGCGTATACAGCAATAGATACATCTTTATACACGATGTTACACAATTTAAGTAATAATTTTTAGGTAGACATTAACAAAAAGAAAGATACTATATGCTACAAAAACTTTCTAAACGTGCAATTGTATCTTCAAACATAATTTTTAAATTATACATACTTTCAAATAATTCAATAAGATGTGGCAGTTTCATACGTCGTAATGCAATTTTGCTACGCTCATTCATAATATCGAAAATAATGATATAAAAATAACTACATGACACGACAAACTCTCCTCTGTCAGCGTTAAACACACACTTGCACTTACATTCGCGGGTAAGTCGTCTTTGCATCCACGATGCTACAGCTACAGAAAACACGCGAAAACACGCATCAAACGCACACGTATACATTAGGGTTGCCATACGTTCCGGTACGCCGGACATATTCCGGTTTGAAGAACAAATCCCGGTCAAGCCATTAAATGTCCCGGTCAACCCGCTAAATAGTTAAATTATATCTTATTTTAACTTTACGACATGCACCGATTTGTTTTTCCGAATAATATCAATCAATTACAGGCATTGACGAGTTCATTTCTCAAACAATTTTCTAAAAAAAATAGACATTGATATATTTTTGAAAGAAATAAATATTGTAACGTAACGTAAAAGTAACTGTTTTTTGGTTTTTATTTTTGTTAATTTTACTCTTATTGACGAATATAAACATTTTAAATGTAAAGGATATATTTTTATTTGCGTTAAAAGTTAGTTCTTTATTAATAAATAAATTATTTTGATAATACAATCTATTTGCCTCCCCCCCCCCCGAACATCATCTTTGTTTCGGTCGCCTCACGGCAAAATATGGCAACCCTAACGTACATGTATTGCGTAGCACGCTCTGCGCAGCGTATGTACTATATATGTACGCGTTACAAGTTACAACTAATACGCATAGTTAGTCTATACCCATAAATGGGTGCCTTAACAAAATTCTGGTTGTGACAACTAAATCACGCGACCATTTATATAGTTGAAATTTTAAAGTAAATAAGTCATATCAACCATTTGCAAAATTGTCACTCCAAGATAATTATAGGATGATGCAGCTATTTGCTTTCAACTAAATATTTCTGGCTGTGTGCATCATATCTTTTTTTTCGTGTAAAAATTATTCTAGATAATACTTTTTTCATTTAAGATACAGATATAGACGCCGAAATTCATTTAGACGATCTTCTAGATAATTTTATTTAGATAACAGCAACACACACAACTGGTAATAGTTGACCAACGAGAGCGACTCGATCATCAGTCTAAAGTAGATAATGGTCGTCTGCGTTGTGTTGATCGTCTGCGTGTCATATCATATCCAGCTTGTCATCGTCACGATTCGTCGTTATCGTCCGTGAACTGAAACGACGGCGTCGAACTTTTCGGTCACCCGGTATATTTATATATTCCCTCGCGTTGTCTTATTGTGCTCTCTTTATCACGATATAAGATAGAAAGATAATTCTACCGTGTGTTTGAATTGTGAAGTAATCTGATAAGTAGTTATACATATATGTACGTCTGTGTATATAATTCGATATCGTTCGACGCTACCAGTATACCTGTTGTCTCTTACCTGTTCGGATATCGAGAGACATCGAGAAGCAAACAAAGTGAAAGCAGGAAAGTGAGAAAGGAAAGATCGCGAGATCAATATTTGTTATGTGGATTATACTAGAATTTTCTCCGGTTAACAAAATTCTTTATGAGAATTAAATAAGATCTCTTATATTCTTTCTATGAATTGCAATAAATATATCGGTCTTATATAAAGCTTTGCGACGTTAATATTCTGGCGACGCGTTGTTTACCGCGTGCGTGTGTTTATCTTATTCTCTGAATGATAAACGAACAAAAAATAGAAAAATTGAAGAAAATGAGGGTATGTACTGTGGAAAAGTTTTATCTCCTTGAACGTCTTTTGACGAGGGTGGAGAAGGCTATAAGAGTAATTCCGATAAGCTGTAAACGCTTGTCGGCGGAGACGTCTCGAATTGGAATAACAATTATTTTCGCCAGATTATAATAATCGCGATTAGGGATGATGACAAATAAGTATGGTAAGAGATGACAGTAGCAAGAATTTCTCAAAGATCGAGTTCTGAATAAAGAATATAAAAAACATTAAAACAGTGCGGCAAGAGGTGAGAAAAATCTTTGACATCTATCTTATATAAAAAAATAATAGTGACAAGAAATCTTGAGCAAATAGTGATTTTTTAAAATAAATAATTCTGAATAAAACTGTATATAATAATAAAATATAAAAATATAAATAATTCTAATTAAATTATTCTAGATACAATTATATATATCTCGATTAAATATATAAATATAAATAATAGTAAATAAATATAAATATAAATCTAAGTACATATAAATAAATGTGTATAAATCCTTGAATAAAAATTGTACGATAATGATGACAATTAGACGCGATAATAAATTCAGTAGATAATAATAGTGACAGATATATTTCGATTTTAAATGAGCGAATACATAAGTGTGTTGCAAAAGTGCGGTCTGCAAATATCACAATATGTGGCATCTCACGCATGCGACGGAATCCGAATACTTCGAATCTTCGTGGAAGGTCAGAGTAGAATGGATTCGTAGACGGCTGAGAACTGTTTTCCAAAGCACGATGGCGCGATATTGCAAATCCAAGAGGAAGGGCTACACTAGATTTCTCACGGAGGAAGAACAAAGGTGCAAAATTCTTTTTCGCGACTAAACACGTATTTCGCGATTTGTTATGCGTCTATACCTCTATAAGAAAAAGCATGTTAAATTGTACCTTTACTATATTTCCTAAACAGAGTTAAAATATTTTAAGGTAATAAATGTTTGTTTCCTTCTTAAGCGATCCGTTGATGAGTGACGTTTGTAAATTTATTTTGTGTACTTTACATGTCATATTCGGCACCCCGCATTCAAGATATCACACATTAAGAAAGATAAGAAATTTTACTTATTATTATTAAAGTATTTTTTTATTTTATTTAATCCTAATATACATAGCGTTGAAAAATCGGCAAATTGTTTTAAGATTATTTTTTTATTCACAAGTTTGATAAGACAATGGAAGTTTAAAATTACAATTAACTTTACCTACAGTAAAAGGTATACTACCTGTATATCATACTGGTACGATTTACTAAATTTATTTTTTACTTAGGTATTAATTTTTTTATATTTAGATGGAAACTGAAAAATATCAAATTTCATAATTTTTTGAAATAATATTTATATTTTTGTGATACAAAAGTATTTTTGTTAGATTTTTGAAAAGAATTTATAATTATAAATATGAATTGTTATAGATATGGTTTGTAAAAAAATTTAATTTTTGTAACAATCTTTTAATTTTATTGTTAAAAATATAATTCAGTAAACTGGTATTATAAATCGTATTAAATACTACTTTTTTTAGTTGAATTATTATACAATATAAAACAATGATAAATTTATGTTATTATTTAACATACATCGCTAACAAATAATCAATTTTAAATGAATAAAAAATGTGTCATTTTTCTTTGATAGTAATTTTATTGCAATTTTAATTTACCTTAGGGGGCACGATTTAGTATATTTTCCTTTATATTGTGTATACAGAGTAGGTTATTTTAATATTTCCTCAATTTTTTTATTCTATATCTTTTGCAAAAAATATTTTAGGGGAGTTTCCTTAACGTCGGACGGCACCTAATACCCGACATATATCATGTCCATGTAAGTAAAACGCGATCGAATGATTATATCGGTGAATAGGGATCACTATCCCTCCACTGCCCCCCTATCACCGATATAACTATTCAATCGCGTTTTTACTTACATAGACATGATATATGTCCGGTATTAGGTGCCGTCCGGCGTTAAGGAAACTCCCCCTATAGTTTTGACTTTAAACAACTTTTTTGGAACACAAGACAGCGATATCAATTTGTTGATAGTGCCACTTTCGAAAATTTACTATTATCATTTTTTTTTTAAATGGAAATCGATATTTTTATTTAAAAATTGTAAATCGTCCTCGAGATCTCCAACTAATCTATTTTTCGTTTTAGTTAAAAAGGTTTTTTCTTTTTCTTGAATTTTCTATAAGTTACACAATTTTGCAAGGTTAGATGATTGATTTTTTAAAACTAAGTTAAGTTAGTTGCTTCTAAAATTAATTTAGTTAAGTTAAAAATTGCATCAATAAAAAATTAACTCAGTCAATTAAGATTAATTAACTGAAATTAAATCAAAAGTTAATTTTTAAAAACATTTATTAAATTAGAATTTTGTTTGTTAATTCTTTTAAATTTATAATAACAAATAATAAAGAAATTTTGATTTTTATATAGAAATATATTTTTTGGTAATTACAATTGATGGCAAATGAAAACATAAAAATTAATAATACTTTAATTAAAAATAATACACGTTTATAACTTATAAAAAACAATATATTGCACATAATAATGGCATTCAGAAATAAAAAAAAATTGAATTAGAAAAAAGTTAATAAGTTTAAAATCAAAAATAATTAATTGAAGTTAAAAATTAATACATTTTGCATTAACTAAACTAAGTTAAAAGTTATCAA